CCCCAAAACCCCAAAACCCCAAAACCCCAAAACCCCAAAACCCCAAAACCCCAAAACCCCATATATTAATAATGGAGTTGAACTGTTTATAATTAAATCATGAAACCGCAAACTAAACTCGTTTATTCCTGAAACCCAAATCATGCTACCAAGTTCTCCAGAAAAATCTACCACAGTACTAAGAGGGAGATTAATCCAAAGATGCTGGTGACGGAGTTAGGCCAGGTTGATTGCAAAAAGGAAATAGATCACTTAAAACCTTCCCAAAATTCATGAAAGAAGACCTGACCCAAAAATGATGAAAATTACCCATTTATGGAGGATGATGATTTCACCTCAATGTTCAACAAATGGGAAGAGAGTCAAAAGAAGACTCAAAGGAAGACATCAGAATGCTCAGATTACCAGCAAAATATGACTCTGAATCCAGCTAAGCTCAATACCGAGGTCAAAAATAAGAAACTATCGACCAAGAACAGATTCATCCAAGAATTCATCACCCATTCGAGATCTGGCAAATTACGAAAGAACTCAAAGGCTAGAGCACTTGAATCTAAAAGAAGAATAATCAGAAAGAGTAAGGTGAGGGTTGCCCCTGAAATGAGGAGTAAAAAGCCTTCTTCAACCCAAATCATGGCATCATTAAAATCAAAGTTAAGCAATGCTTTCAACACTCTTGGGGAACCATCGATCGGTGAGAACAGTTCAACACAAGATAGTGCCAGGAGAAGACATTCTAACTGCCGGCCTTACGTTACAAGAAAGCAGACCAAGCTACTGCCAGAATTGAAGCACTCTAACAGAAGTATTTTTGATGCAAGCCAGGACATGAGCTCTGAGAGATGCACCAGTCAAAACCCTATCAATTACTCAAGAAGAGTGAGGATGTAAGTTAACATTTCTGACATAAGCCTAAGTTTTCATAGGGTTTCAAAAGAGATGATTAACATGCCTTCCCTTGTAATGGGAAAACCTTCCAAAAATGGTTCAAAATCCCGTGGTAAATTTCAAAAGTTCACAATTCTCCCCAAGACCAACGTTTTGAGCCAGGAAGGGTTAATGTCAGAGAAGAGGAACATGATGAGGTCTGAAAAATTAAGACTCTACGGTTACTAATACCTCTCAAAGGCATGTATGCTTGCACTAAATGTAACATATTTCCTAATGTAAACCCTTTTAAACATAAGAATCTATTCAATAGTATCAGAAGCTTGAGGGGTTTTGGGGTTTTGGGGTTTTGGGGTTTTGGGGTTTTGGGGTTTTGGGGTTTTGGGG